CATTCTGATATTTGTTTGTTCAATCACTTTATGTTTAAAAAGATTAGCAGTGAATTTAGAGTTGCACGAGTAATTTCTAGAAGCCTTCTGATATAAATGTATTGGCATGTAAGTCTTAACAACAAAGTTATTAATTTTTCTGTCCAAACTTGCATATGACAATCATTTGCAGTTTACCTTGCAACATCTCACCCTTACTCTAGTTGGTTCATTCACACACTTTTCAATCTAAACCTTTCTTTAAATTGTATACTCAGTTACTGTCAATCTAAACTCTTTTAAACTTTCAAAAACCATGCCCAATTGCCACACAATCTTCTTCTGTTGGGATCAAACTAGACACTGTATGTGGCATGTCTCTTTTTTTTTTTTTGATGTTAGGCAGTTTCAACTTCATTTTTCACCTTTCTCAAGACAACTATCATCTATGTCAGTTTCAAACTACAAGCACCAGAACTTGCATAATATGGTTCATCACCCCCTAGCCTTCCTTCTAAAGTATTTCTATTGATAGCAACCTCTCAAACCCAATACCTGCTCCAACATTACCATGGTACATCTTTAGTATCCGCATGAATTCTTTCCCATCTTTTCCTTATCCTTAGAAAGGATTTTTTCTCAATCCTCAATTTAATAAACTCCTCATAAACATCACTTCCATATTGATTATTTTCAAATAGTTCGTTATCTTTAGTTGACTCATCAAATCCTTTTACAAAGTATTTACCATCTTTAGAATCTGATGGATCAGTACTTGGAACTGGTGGGTTTGATGCAGAAGGAATATTTGAAGTAGTATTTAGAGATACATCTACCTCATTAAAAGTAGCCTCACCTACTTCATTATATTCAATGTTTTCACTAGCTCTATTTTCAGGGTCCCAACTTTATTAAAAGTTGCACCAGATTCCTGTTCATGCATGTGACATAAACATCCAAAACAGCCCCCACTTGGCAAATAATTACACATTGCTAAAAAAATATCATCATTGTCAATATCTCCTAGGATGAAAGTGGTAGTCGGATACTAAATTTGTAATTTGGGCTATACCCTAGTTCTTTGATGTAGTCTTTAATCTCAAAATATGATATTGTATCCACATCAACATTAACATATTCACTCACTAACCCACCCACACATCTTGCTTCCTTACTTTCATACAATAAGGCCCCACCATGATACAAATTTAAAGTAATGAATGTAAATCAACACATACCATATGCATAAACATCAACAATAATTATGTACAATTTATTAATAAAATATAATCATTGACTAAAGAAACACGCACACACACCCAAACAAATATAAGAACAATTCAAGTTAAAGCCAGTAATTATTGAATTTTTAAAATGTAACTATAACCCCACAAATACAGAACTCACATACCCCACACGTCACAATACTTGACATATCTTTGTCTTCTTTGAATTAGGTTTGTAACCCCCACAACAAGCACAACACAACACCTAACATATCTTTTTCTTCTTAGTATAAGGTTATTTATCTGTAACCCCATACAGACACAACACAAGATCCAACATGAAGTTATTTTATTGTATCCCCATAATAGAACACAACACACAACTCGTTTTATCTTCTTGTATGCTTTAAAAGGAGAACATTCCTCACACAAATATAATACCATCCAACCAACCCACACTGAAAAAATACTTTAGAATATACCATAGCGATATATGTGACAATATGAATATAGAAATAACGAGTTACATACGAAGTTTGATATCTAATAATACCATAACATAAACCCTAAAAATAAGCATGAAGTTATATTTCACTAGAAGATCAAAACCAATATTTAACAACATATCATAACCCCTACGAAATATAATTATAAAAATATTTTTTTTAAAAATAAAGAAAAAACTAACTTTGAACTCAACCATGATTGTTGATGACTTAGAAAAATGAAATCAACCCAGATATGCACGACTAAAATCGGACACTAAGTATCAAAATCCAACATAGAAGATCGATTATTGGTCTGATTTTCGAAAGATAATTGTTCTTTCCCTTGTTCCTTTCTCTTTTTTTTTTTGGTAAAGTTAAACTTGAAAAATATAAATTGGTAGCGTTTTGATATTCTGGGAAGTGTAAAAGCTACTTTTGGATTGATACTTGTCTTTTTAGAAAGTTAAAAAGTGGGGTTCAGTGCGTGTTGAAGAAAGCTTTCAAGCTATATGGTTTATAGTGTCATGTAGGTCAAAAAAGGATAGAAAATTAACTAAAAAATAAGTTCGGAAGGTAATAGGACCTTGGTAAAGATTAGGTGTGTCTCAAGGATTTTGGGCATAGATTTGAGGGGCACGTAGGCATTTTCCTTAAAAATATTTAACCATTTAATTTAGTTATTAAATTTTATCATTTTAATAAAAATGTTAATGACTTTGTACTTCCTTAGATTATTTCCTAATTAAAATATGAAATGTAATAATATTTACCCCTACACTATTTTTTTATATATAAAAAATTAATTAATCAAATATTTAATGTTTCTAAAAAAATAAGCAACTATTTTTCATTCACGAAATTACATTGTTCCTCTAACAACTTATGCTTAAAAATTAAATTATTACGCAATCATTATTGTTTAAATACATTAAAAAAATAACAACTTTTTTAGGAATTTCAAATGCTATTTTTAAATTTATAAGCAATTTAATATGATTCATGTATTAGCAAAAGTCACGTTATCCAGGAAAAATTTTGATATTCTCATGCATTTATATCATGGTTTGCACTTATCTAACTATTGACTATACACATTCTCTTGCAATTTTTGGATTATTCCTATATCTGCCATCTATAAATATGAAAAATGTTGGAGTAAACAACATGATCATGTGATACAGAAGGAATGGGCAAGCAAAGATTTGGGTCAACTTCTCTAGGATGAATAAAACATTTTTTACTCTTTTTTAGAAGAACAAATTAAAGGTAAAGATCTTCACGAAGGATGTGTTATTTTTTGAAAAAACACATTAAGAAAATCTGAACTTAGTCGGATAACTTACTTTAGCACTTAAACTACATGAGCGTTTAAATATCCTCTTAACATCTTTGAAATGAATTTAATACAATCCTAAGGGATGACGTGACAAAGAAAGTGAGTTCAGTCACCTAATAGCGTGTGAAGGAGTTAATAAAGAAAGAAAAGAATATAAAAAATTATACACATGTAATTCAAAAAAATCAACACCAACATCTTATAATTGATGTCAATTTCATACCTATAAATTTTATCGACTTTTATCGAAGCTAAAAAAAACTTATTGGTTCACTGAATAACACGAGAAAAGGAAGAGAAACAGGAGGCGTGGTAGAGATCATTGAAAAATATGAAGAGGAAAAAATTGAACAGTTAAGAGCTAGAAATAGTAAAAAGGAAAGAAGTGAAGGGGCTGGATAGGGCTGGATATGGTGGAATAAAAATAAATTTATATTTTTAATTTTAATTTTAGAAAATGTATTTGTAATTAATTACTTAGTGTATATTAATTTTAAGAAGTGTTAAAGAAACAATTGTGAAAATAATTAATTAAAAAATTAATTAATGATGTGGTGCTGATATGGCTATGTTGTGGCACTTACATGACTATTATATGGCAAGTGAGAGTGATATAATAATCTCAGGGTGATTCTTAATTCACTTCAAAGATGTTAAGGAGGGTATTTAAACGCCCGTACAATTCAAGTACTAAAGTAAATTATTCGACCATGTTTTGATTTTTTTTTAGGTATTTTCTCTTTTTTTTTAGTACATTTTCCTTCTTTGAATGTAAAATAAAGGGTCATGTATCAAAATATAAGATTATACTAATCTACTTGTGTGATGTAATTTGTATAAAAAAAATCAAATCATTATAATCTATTAGTTGATATTAAAAATTATTTAATTTGTTCTTATGATTATTAATTACTTATTTATGTTTATTTTTATTAATGGTGTGTAAGATAGAATACATAAAACTACATTTTGAGAAAATACATAAAAAAAATTCTTGCAGTTGATCGGATAACATACTTTAGTACTTAAACTACATAGACGTTTAAATACCCCCTTAACATCTTTGAAGTGAATTAAGAACCACCCTGAGATTACTAAACGCCGTCGTTGACGACGACAACAACAATAACAACAAAGACGACGACGACGATGATGACAACAACAATAACAAAAAAACCAATAATAATAATAATAATAATAATATTTATTATTATTATTATTATTGTTATTATTGTTATTATTATTGTAACAGTTCATATTGATTATTAATTGTAGCCTTTATTTTATTTTAATTAACTCTAACAAGTGGCTATCAATTTTTTCATTTTCTTTTCTCTAAATTTTGTCTTGGAAGTAATTAACATGTGAGATAAAAAGATAGATACATTAATTTGTGCTTGTAATTATAATCTTTTTAAAGTACTAAATATTATCATCTTTTATTTTATTTAGAGAAAAGATGCTTTGTTGTCATATTTTAATTTGTTATTGGTATCCAAAAGTAGATTTCAAATATTTGAACTATTTTTTATTTAAAAATGAACGATATTCATGTAATTTATCATAAAACTATTTTTAATACAATTATAATTTGAAATAATTTATTTCAACTTAGACCAGAAACTAGTGTATATAAAACACGCAATAAAGGATACGAGTCGAGAGGCTTATCACTACAGAAAGAGCAACAAAATCAAGCCTCCAAATAACTGTAACAACTAACAAGCATCAGGCACATTACTCAGGAAATGACAGGAGAAAGAAATCTAGGTATTGCACGTTCCACTTTGATACAAAAGTATATATTAGAGTATTATTAGTCAGACAATAAACCTTTAACAAATGTAATGTAATATCCAAAGATATAACCTAGTGGTCAATGAAGTGTTCTGACCACCATGAGGTCTATATCTAATAATTAAGCAAACCGCCTAAAACTTAGATGCTGATCTTTAAAGAGAACATACCACATTTCCCAAAGTACAAGATAATAATACATCAATGAGGTAATTGACATAATCATATTTACATTAACACTTCATTTTCAAGAATATACATGCACATCCCAAGGCAAAACATAATTAATGCTAACCTAATACATACACAAATATTATGCTATGAAATCTAATTAACTTTAGACACGACGACATTGACAGTAACTTTCTTCATGCCGGTCTCATAGAAACAGTGTCTTCTGTGCTAGGCAATCCCAACAACCATCAGCGTATTTCCAACATGATATTATACATCAAGACTTAATGTAACAACTAACCAACTTATTAACATGGCCTCCTAATTCAATAGGATTCAACTCAATCTAGGCCTCTGACATCATCCATCTCTTTCGATAAAAGGTTTGTTGGCATCTATTTATCTTTTGCAGGTAAGAAATAACGAGTAATACCCAAATCCTTTTTCACTGTATTAGGTCGCTTCTGAGGCCTGAGCCATGCTTGTACCTCTTCTTGAATTTGTTTTGGTAACTCATTCAAGACATCCTGGTCAATCTTATCAATGTCGTAACTCCATGATGGCCTTTTCAGTTTAATCTGGCTACAAAGATGAGTATCAACACTAGATTCACCTCTTGCAGGTGAATTTTCTTGAGGAAGTTCACTTTGACGGTCTGCGCAATATAATCACAAGTAAGAAACCTAATACTCCATGCTTTAAATTTATGGCATCCTTTTCCATTTTAGGACATCCCAAAATGTTTGACAGCATTTCACAAATAATCTTTATCTTATATTTGCTCCATTTCATCATATATGATGGTATTTGATTGGGCAAGAATCTTTAATATATTAGGTTGAATTATTTAGTATATTGATGATCGTAAAAGAAACTACTAAAGTAACGATTGAAAAGTTAGTTTGATAGACAAACATCTTACGGAAGTTCAAAAGTTATTAATTTAACTATTTGAGTCGAGAAAAAATGTAACAGTTGTACAAATATGGAACAATGTGTGTTCTTGTACATCTAAAAATGAACTTGTAAAAATTCAAAATCATTTGACTATTCAAATTTAGAACTTGATGTGATATGCTCATTATGATCTGATTGTTCAACAATCACTTAAATATATTTTTCCACTAAGTCAATTTAACAACTTAAACACCATATTCAGTCGAACACGATCATGTAAAACGACAGGGGAGAGTACAAACGGAAAGCGGATGGAAAAAGAGCACACTGACTGGTGGATATGTTACCTGACAAGGAGGAGGATTCGCTTAGCCTACTAGTATTGGCATGTTCTGCCTTTAAGAGAGAGCCAGAGAGTTGACTTTGAAAATATCGCGAGATTGTTGACATCCCCTGATATAACAACAGCAAAAAGAAGCTTAAAAACAGTTTTCTGAAGAAATCAAAACAAAGATTACTTTCAATATTTGTAAACTGGGCGCACTTACTCCAAGAGAATTTTAAGGAATCAACTCCAAACATGGTGCACTACAATCTGAAAGGGTATCAATGTTACTGATACCACTAACTCAGAGGCTGAGATCATTGATGACTGCTTTAAATGTGTGCATACCTTATTTACTTCCTTTTATGTGTGAAGCATTTGCATAGCAATACATAAAAGGAGAGGAAAGAGACTCTTGGATAAAGTAAGATCTCCTTGATAAATGTTCTGATGCTTGTCTTTTCTAACTTGATCTGATGTTTAGATCATAGATATATGATCTTTAATCAACCAACAAAGATCTGTTAGCCTCATGATAATAAATCTTTTGGATGTTCTTTAGGCAGTTGCATGTTGAGTTTTCTCCTTAATACATACATTATTGAAGATTAAAATAACTACACAAATTAAAAATACTTAAACATGGAAAGAGCAGAATGGAAACCTAAATGTGACGACCCAAACTATCTGTCATCTTAAAATCAAGGAATAGCAAAATGCAGTTCATAAGTAAAAGAGTAACAACATTAGAAAGGACAATGGGGAATTAAAAAAACTCATGCATTAAACAGCTAAATGGGTAAGGAGAAACTGAAGAATACAGCCAAGACATAGCTGCAATCCATGAGACAGGTACTTCTTATAGCAATGAAATAATAGAATGGAGTTAGAAACCTTTTCTTTATTTGATTTCCTCTTCCCATCCTCTGACTCTAAACTATCTCTAATCTTTACAGTAAGGTAGTCCCTGCTTGATTCATTCTGATCTTTCTCCCATCCCCGGTACACTTCAGCATCTAAAGTAGCATTGGAAAAAAAATTAAAACAAATCAAGCTGGGAAGAAGCACAAGACTAAGGAAATATTGACCAAAGTTTTAGCTATTAGAACCAATAGGAAGAAGTACCTGGTGAAGAACAGATTGAAGTCTCTTTATCAGGCAGCTGCTCAGATGGAAAAAAAAAATACAGAAACAGCCCAGGTCAAGGTGGCTGTAGATTATAACTGTTTTACACCATAGAGGACCATCAAAATATAAAATACAGAAAGCATGCATATTACTGAATGTTGAAAGATCAGGTTTATTAAATAATTTAAAGCACAAAAGTAGGTCATAGTACTGAAATTGTTATAAATGACATGCCAGTTCAGTAAAGCGGGCTTCCGAGATAAGAATCAGTATATGGTTTGCTTCCTCTTTTCTTACCAGGGACACTATGTCTCACCTTTTGTCTTCCACCCTCCGAAGAAAAGGCTAGTGGAATTTAAGATAACATGCTAAAGGGTTCTCACATCATAGACGAATGAGGGTAAAAAGCTAGTCCAAGAGAGTCGGATACAGGTAGGTAGCTCGACCACAAGACACGGGAGTCGATGGAATGAGTGGATACTCCAAAAAGGGGGAAGTTAATATTGCATGCCTTCAGGAAATCAAATGGACAGCAGGGCAAAAGGTTAGAGAAATAGGTAATACGGATTGTAAATTATGGTACTGTGAGAGATAAAAGTAGGAATTGAGTGGGAATTACTATAGAACCAATACTAAGGGTCTGTTTGGAAAGCCACCTGGTAACTGGAATTGGTGTAATTACTAGGTTAATAATTACCAGCCTAGTAATTACAGTGTCTAGTAATTATACTGACCTGTTTGGTTGCCATAGCGTAATTGCATTGTAATTACACATGTCCTGTTTGGATGCTATAGTGTAATTACACATGTACTGTTTGGATGCACAATTGCAATCGTAAACTTATATTAAGTTATAAAAACAAAAATTAATTATTTAAAATTTCTATTCGACAAATAAAAAACTTTATATTTGACATTAAATTAAATATTATATATATATATATATATATATATATATACTTTTTTGAATATATATTAATTAATAAACGTATATTCTTTAACCTATATTATGAAAAAATAATTGATTATATTTTTTCTAATCAATATATTTCAATTGAATTGATCGTAAAAACTGAAAGTACGAAGTCTCTACGAACATCGTGAAATGCATATTTGACAAAAAGATTAATATAAATATGTCATAAATTATTAAATGTTTGACAAAAAGATGATCTATCAAGTTTAATTTAAAAATGACGTGCAATGTGAATTCAATATTACTAAAACAAATGAAATTGAAAATATAACATAACTTATAAATTCAAAACAAAACGTTTAACATGACACTCTTAGAGCAAATTTCAACATAGCATGCATAAGTATGATTTATTATAACCTTACTTAACAATAAACTATATTTTAATTTAAAAATTAGAATATTAACAAATTATGCTAATGAGAAAATAAGCATGACATAAAGAAATAGATAATACGAAAAAATTGCATAGAATCATGGAAAGTAAGGTCGAGAACAAGAAGAAAATGAAATATAATAATAAAAAAAAAACTTATAAAAAAAGTTAGAATAATAAAAACAAAAAAAAAATTAAAATAATAGAAGTAAAAAAAAATTAAAATAGAAATAATAAAAAAAGAAATTTAAAAGCAATCAACTGGCAATTACACCATATAATTAATTACTAGCAATACATAGCCTCTACATGTGAATTGTAGAGTGTAATTACCTTGTCAATTACACCACACAATTACACCATTTACCTGTTCACCAAGTAATTACTAGTCCAATCAAACAGGACAGGCAATGTAATTACACCCAATTACACAAAATCCAATTATCAAGTTATCCTTCCAAACAGGCCATAAGGGTGAGTTTGGTATTAAGGAAAACATTTTCCGGAAAATGTTTTCCAATTTTCTCATGTTTGGTTGGATAAAATGTTTTCCAAATCAACTCATTTTCCTTTGATTTAAGAAAAATGACTTCCCAACATTTTCCAAAACTTTCCTCCAACTTCAAATTACAATTCATTTGTTTTAACGATAAATTTAAAGCTTATTTTTAAAAAAAAAAATTCAACCTCATTTGTTTTACCAATTCCCCCTCTCGCCAGTCCCCTATCTCTCCCCCCCCCCCCCCCAAAAAAAATGAACTTTATTTTTTTAAAAAACATTTTCAATTTCAAATTTTTATTTTCACCCCTACCTTCGACCCCCCACCCCCAAAAAAAAAATTTAAAGTTTGTTATTTAAAATTACTTTCAATTTCAAATTTTTATTTTTCACCCCCAAACCACCCCCACCCCAAAAAAGTAATAAATTTAAAGTTTGTCTTTAAAAATTACTTTCAATTTCAAATTTTTATTTTTGCACCCCTACCCCCACCCTCCCCCAGCCCCACTACCAGCCCCCCACTCCCCTCAAAAAAAACTTTAAGTTGTTTTTAGAAAATATTTTTAATTTCAGATTTTTATTTGTTCTACCCCATCTCACCCCTAGCCCCCACCCCCACCCCCAAAAAAATTAAGATTTTAAAAAAATATTTTCAATTTCAATTCAAAAATTATTTTCTAGTCTCGAGTAAATATAAAAGATATTTTCTCAAAAATATTTTTTATTCATAAATTGAACACTAAAAAAATTTTCCAAAAAATATTTTCTACTCACCAACCAAACATGAGAAATAAGCCAAAAATGTACTTGTTTTCCACGAAAACATTTTCCATAAAACATTTTCCTTCATACCAAGCACACCCCAAGAGATATGGTTGTGGAGTTAATACGAGTTGGGATACCATAATTGCAATAAAGCTCGTATGGGGTAAGGAGACAATCAATGTTATCAGCGCCTATGATCTGAAAATAGGATTAGATGCAGAAGCTAAAGCTTTATTTTGGGATAACTTGATTCAGGAATTCCAGGAGATCAACAATATTATAGGGGAGATATAAATGGCCATGTCGGTAGAGACTAAATAGAATTTGCCTTAGCTTATAATTTAGTGACAGCTAATGCATATTTTAAGAAAAAGGGATTCTCACTTGATTACTTTAGGAGTGGGGGTAACCATAGTCAAATAGACTTTATCCTTACAGGAAGATGAGAAGTACATGCATGGACTGTAACAAAGTTATTCCAAGAGAAGCGATGACCTCCCACATAGGTTAGTATTCTTAGATGTAAAACTTAGGAGTAGAATAAGAAAAGTGAATGTAGTCATGTGCAAACATAAAACAACTGTTAATTAAGTGCTCAGCATTAATGTTACCAATTTCAAAAAAAAAAGAAGTGGTTTGCATTAAAGAGTATGCTATAGAGGCTCCATGTACATGTACCGGGTTTGTAAATATTTATGGGTAGGCATGCTATGTGTACACCGATGTCAGGATTCTCTTATGGTATGTTGAGTCCTACCAACCATTTTAAAAGTAAAAGTAAAAAATAAAATAAAATAAAAAATTAATTATATAAAAATTAAAATTAAAAATAACCTTGTAATCTCACCATGTAAACCACCAATCTTCAAACTGCGTTGAAACTTAAAGATTGTAATTACTCACTCTCACTTACATGTTGATCAAGTAATTACTTGGACAGACAAACATAACAGCACAATATAATTACACACTATTACAATCAATTAAATTATAAGGTTACTTTCCAAATAGGCCCTAAATATATCCTTACTTGTATGTAGCAAAGCCTAGCATGATATCTGCAAGTAAGGATCCCCACTTCCATCACCTGGATTTTCTTTTACAGATATATAGGATTGTAATTACTCACTCATTTACATGTTGATCAAGTAATTACTTGGACAGACAAACATAACAACACAATATAATTACACACTATTACAATCAATTAAATTATAAGGTTACTTTCCAAATATATATCCTTACTTGTATGTAGCAAAGCCTAGTATGATATCTGCAAGTAAGGATCTCCACTTCCATCACCTGGATTTTCTTTTACAGATATAATATAGAACAGGCCTAAGTGACTTTTAAGTTTTCAAGCCAACAAGTGGTTTTTGCTTTGGTGCCTTCCCTAATGTTATTGTAATGCTTTTACGTACCACTATACTCAATTAATAAACATCCTTATGAATCTAATCCATTGAAATTTCTACGGTCCATGTGGATTCATATAACTGATCCAAACTCACTTGAAACTAAGGTGTATTTGTTGTATATTGAATTTTCTGCTAAGTCCAGTCACGACTAAAAAGTGTCCATTTTGCATCTATATACGTTTGTCACAGGTGTATGTGATTTTAACCCAAGGAGAGAAGTAGATATCTTCAGGTAGGATATAATATCTTCTAAGCACTCCCACAAGGTCAACAAATTTCTTGAAGTATTAGATTCAACTAAAAGCATAAAGAAAATACAGGCACATGGGTTGCAGATAATTGCATTCAAACAAATGATAAATAAAATCGTTATGAGAAAAGGTTAAAGGTGTAAAAGAAAATATTTTAACATCATTTGCATGCATTAAATTTATCAAGCATTCCAACGCCCCCCCCCCCTCCCCTGCCCTTAGCTCTTCAAAATATAGCATAACTAATATTCGAAACAATATTGATTTTTTTAATCAAGATTTGGAAACATTATGTTGCACGTATGATGTTCTTGTATGAAATCAATGCAGATTGAAATAACAAGAATGACATCAAACCTTTTCTTTGCACGTGTTCTTGTCCTCTTCCTGTCTGTCTAGTGACATGGAATATTTAGTCTCTTCATTTTCCTCACGACATGCTATCCATGGCTCTATTGTCTGCAGTGTCAGATGACCTCCACTTTCAAGACTGTCCTCTTCTAAATTTCAATCTCAAAAGGTAAGACGATCAATTATGAAAAGAAGGCCAAAAGAAAAATAAAGGTACTAGCATCAGGCCATACAACCTGAAGGTGACAAAAGTGGAGCATCTTGGATAAGTTGTTCGCTGGACAGTTTAACTTGAGGGAAAGCTTCCTCTTGGTTATGAAAATAATTCAAAATAGAACGTGTACCCTGCCAAAAGATTTAAAGCAGAACATAATACCATGACACTAAGCATATGCAAGAAATAGAACACCAACCAAGAAATGTAATGAAAAAGAAATACTAAACAACAGAAAACCTTATACTCAAAGCAAGATTCCCGATACCATTATACATTTTAAGAAGTTCTTTATACGATTCTCTTTCATGTAAAGCTTTCTTAACTGAACTATCAAATAACCAGGCAGAAACAAGCAGCCAAAGAGCAAAGTTGGAGCTCTTCATCAATAGCACCACTCAGCTGCACTTGACCCACTTAAACTTCCTTATTTAACTACAGAAGTTTTTCATCCTTTCCTCATCAAATAACCTTGAACAAAGTAAACTCCTCTGGGCATTTGGATGTTTATTCAGGTTCTAGTTCACCATACACAAATCTCATAGCACTTCCTCTTGTTTATTTGATCCTTATGTCAGACTTTAATCCAAGATTATCTGTTTGTTTATTTTTGCTTCCACAACTAAATTTATTGGTAACTAGTTGAAAACATGTGATGCAGTTTACCTTATAGGATTTTCTAGGACATAGGATATTGCTTATTGCATAAATATTCGTCTGTCCAAGGTTATGTTTTAATAAAAATATATTTCACACCATAACAGCTTCAAAAATCTGAACATATTCAAACTGGGAAATAACCAACGAAATTAGAATATACTGTATATATCTTAGGCTGCTTCAAGTTAGAATAGAGTTTCATATTTGCTTGCACCAAAGTAACCACTGTAATGTTATAAGCAAAAATAAAGATAATCCACATTTGAAATAAAAACTCCACAAGGCATATAAATCGCAACAGGAATTTTCAGCAACGATAACACTGCATGCTGGAAACTCATTTGACCAAGTTCATTAACTCAAAAATGATTGCCTTCTGAAGTAGAGACATGTAAAGAACCTATACGAGAAGTGGCAAAAATATGATCATCAACATGCGAATTCAATTTGGATGGAGTCATGGACTTCAGGAATGTCAATAAGAGAAAGGAAAGAATCACAAAATAAGAAGTTAAGCTTAAGCCATTAACTGATTATATCCATACTGCAACCTGAAAGAAGTAATCATGAGAAGGGATTTATCATATCAAGTATAAAGTAGGTGTACAATCCCGTTCTCATATATCTTCGAAAGACAAACAAAAACCATTGTAATTAGCTTCCATTTGATATTCGGGTGCACATCTCAGAGGCTTATATTGCAGACCAGATAAAAAGCATATGGAGATGAAACATTGGATATAGGTATATAGAAGTAGATGAATGTAATAGATTATTGCTGAAAGAAACTTAGAACTTACTGATGGTATAGCTACAATTTTACTGGCTGTAACAGAAAGACCAGTTATACCCCACCCATTGTTTTGATTTCCGGAAATCTTCACATTGAACAGGCCAAGATATTCACGCAATCCTGCTTGAAACAGGCTAAGGGCATCTTCCTTAATCTTGGAAGTCCCATACCTCAATGGACACGATTTTGATGGAAATTTCCTGAACGAATCTCCATCATTTGACTGCACAATAGCAGAGTATTAAGTATGCAATTTCAGGAAACTCTAAATCTATGCTGGTCGGACTCTTCAAAAATGATGCCGCAACTGTGTAGGACTCTTCAAAATTACACTACTTTTGGAGAATCTGACACCCACCCGTCGACATTTTTGAAGAGTCCGAGCAACATAGCTCTAAATTACTTATATAAGGGACTAGCAAATAGTCATGTCATCGAGCTGGAGACCTGACAAGAAAAGCCAACCTTGTATGCGTGAGCATGTAGAGTAAGAGTATGTGCAATGCGCTTATTCTGTTCTAAATCAGACTGAAGACGTTCACTAAGTTCGTCGCAGAGCTCATTAAGCCACTTTCCAACCTAGAAACAAAGCAATTAAGTAGAAGTGGTCCATTTAAACCGGTAGATAAAACATTTAGAACTCAAAATAAAACTCCAATGTAAATATAAATAAATAACTATGTAAAAATCAGAACATCGTCGCCTCTATTTTTTCCTAGATCAGTTATGTCTAACTTGTAAAAGAAGGATCGATCAATGTAATCCAGAAGATGGGTGTTCAGTTTGAATAAAACTTACAGAAGCAACAGTTTTAAGAGCTCGAGGTCCAGGAAATGTCTTTCCTGATCCATGACTGTTGGGAAGAAGGCGTCCCTTGACCTCTTCTCCATTAATGCCCCTTGCTGTATTCCATAACCAGGAACTGTGCAAGTTAAGCACAACAAGGTCAGTAGGTTACAGAGGGGCTTATCTGATTAGCCTGAAACTAAAGAATTAAATCTGAAGACCAAAACCTGTTGTCATTGGACACTTCAAATTTCAGTTAACCAATTGTAAGGGGAAATTTATGTTGATTAATCATAAACTAAATATTTCAGTTCACATTGTTGAAATCTTATATAATTATTATAAGTTACATGAGATTTATTACTTAGTACTCCCTGCATCCAATAATAATGGCAGGTTCGAAGGCAAGTGTCAATCACCTTAGCTAGTAAATTAGACCATTCATTAGCAATATTATTTGTAAGAATAACATGTCAAAAGAACTACATAAAACCCCTTCATATCTTAATATTTTTGCAAAAAATGTACATATATAATAACATAAAAGAACCTATGAATCATGATGTTTATAGTCCAAGAAGGCCTTTAGGATGTTCATTATATTATAAAAAAAGTTGTTTGACGCTAAATAATAATAGTGGCATGCTCATTGGGTGGAGGGAGTATATATAATTTCAACTAAAGCCAAAATCAAATGCTTACAGCAAAACTAATCTCTGGACAACAGGCAAAATACCATAATAAAGTACAGTTAATTCCTCTGCTCGTTAACATATGAAATAATAGTTAATTGTCAATTTGTTCATGTGTGCATGCATTTTTTTTTCTTTTCTATTGGTATGCATGTTATTAATATTTGATATCAAGCCTGTTCAACTAGTTAGTAATAGAATCAATTTCTTTGACTTGTCATAGGATTTTGAATGGTACTTATTGAATTTTTGTTCCATCTTACTAAGCATGCCAAAAATATGATCACTCAACAATTGTAATTATAATGATTGAATTAGGTTATCAAGAAACGACATTCTAAAAATGATTTTCAATCAACTTCACTAGTTTCTTGTTTCAATCAAAATATCAAAAGAACCTTATTGAAGAAGTAAGAAATAATTTCAAGTTAATTCTGACATATTTAGCTCCTTATAGACTCATGTAGCAGACTGGAGTATCATAGAATGAATCTTAGATTAGGTGTTGACTTACCTTTGACGACCTTCTATCTACTCTCCCTCTTTCTACGGACCTGAATGCTACATTTGAGATTTCGGGCTTTGCTTGGAACTGGTGACTAGAGTTAGTTGGAGCTTGGATTGTTGTTCTGGTTACCAGGGAGTGGACGTCGTTCCACGGTAGTTCTATGATGATGATTGACATGAGGTCCTTTCGCAGCCCTTCCTAGTCGGAGATTCAAGGTCTGGTCGCACTGCTCTACATCCTCTACGTACGGAGACGATACACTTTGGCTACAGCCTATTGCCCCTTTGGGGACCATCTGTATTTCGAAGTCCAGAATCTGCACCCCTTAGCTAGGCAGCTCTTATTGGTTTCTTGGAGATTATTCGCGGTTAAGAGTTCGATCTTTAACCTTCTTTGGATTCGGACTCACCATATCTTATTCTTAGTAGTTTTAGCTAATATGTGTACCTATTGGGCTTATAAGGGTTTGTTCGAGTTTTTACTTATACTTGCACGCGAGTGTACCTTCTAGGCTTATGAGGTCTAGGTAGGTTTATTAGTTTAGTTGTACTTTTCTTTTCTATCTTGGTATATTCATGTGCTTTCTTTTACATTCCGCTTTGACCTTGCTTGTGTCTAGATTCTATCATTTCATATTGCTTTTACTTTTCCTGCTCAGTCGGCTAATGATGTCTACTGAGTACCTGTAGTTTTGGTACTCATGCTATACTCTGCCTTTGTTTCGTGATGCATGTATGAGCACCAGCTATTGACATTGACCATTCGAGCCAGCTTCAGCTTTTGATCTTGAAGCGAGGGTGAGAACTTGGTGTCATGGACTTACCATCTCTCTCAGTATTTTGATGGCCAGTCTTTTACATTTTGAGACAAGCTTGTATTTTGGGTCCACTTTTGGGACTTGTACTCTTTTGTTTTGCAAAACTTTATAACTTTCAGTTTCAGGAGGGATATAGATATATATATATATATATATATATATATATATATATTCTTTTGGTTTGTTTCCTTTTGTTGCTCTATTTTTGTTATTAAATTACTGCTTTTACTTTGTTTCTACCCATATATGCATTACTTGTTGTTCTAGCTTACGGGTTGGCTTACCTATTGGTGGTTTATAGTATGTGTCATTGTGACTAGAGCAATCGGGTTGTGAAAGCAAGGCTATTAGTATGTCGTGTTTCAACAGATCTGTTTATCTTTGATTTATTAGAAAAGAAATAGATAATCTAAGAGGATGTTTGGTTTTAGCTCAAAATCTGGTCAAAATAGCTTTTAATTATTTTTGGCTTAATAGCTACTCAATCCAAACACCTTATAAGACTGTAGGTATTGAAAACTTCCACTTAAAATTAGAAATACAGCAATAATTACTAAAGTATAGTGAGTTCAGCTATCTTGAGACAGATTGCGATTGGTCATCAAATTCCTTATTTTCTTTCTTTTTTTTCGTTCACAGATTTAGTAATTCAACTAGTGGGACTTTTTCCCTATGAAGAGGAGTCTGCCCAACATGAGCATGATAGACAGACCAAAGACTTACGAAGAGTAACAACACATCTGAGACTGAGAATAGATTATCACCCAGTATTTACTCCATAATATCCTTGTAGCTTTTCTTCTGAAAACTGGAGCATATCCCCAACAGTGTTCACACCCAAGTCAATTTGCAAAGAAGTTCCAAGTTTTCCTCCAAGCTGTTTCCTGTGAACAAATAATGCCCCAAGACATGTTAAAAGAAAACAGTATTTAGAAGAATAAACAAGCCAAAAAGTACCATTACATTATAGAAACCATGTGCCACATCACAGTAGAGCAGTCCAGGGAAAGGACTGAGTAAGAATATATAAAGAAAAGAATTCAATTTCAATAAAATTACGGCATAACTAAGCAACCAACATGCTATTAACTACTTTAAGAGATGGTAACAAGGTGTCAACACACAATTTCTGTGCAAACCCCTACATTTTTTTTATAGGCAAAGTTCTAAGTAATTTGCTGACGGATGAGAAAGGCACCACAGTTTGCTGAGCAGGTTTATTCATTCCACTTGCAAGTTTGGCCAGCATCTGCTCACAATATCATACTCAAGTTACTAAAACCTTCTTCAAAAATAAACCATCAAATATATAATTATGCATTTCTCATGTAAACGACATTTATATCCACCTTATTGCTGTTACAAAATAATAAATATTTCCACCTTATTATGAGCAATGCCTGCAGAACAAGTGAACTCAGTCTCTTCTAGTACTTGCAGCCGAAGTTCTGCAACAATAAAGGCTCCACAGGCTAACAACTTATCACGACGACTAGCATCACTTCTAGTGAACCAATGTCTGACATTCTCTCTGGCATCGCTACCAACCTGTGCAGGAAAGAAGTCAGCAGATATCAGCAAAAACCCGTGGGATATGGATAAATATAAAAATAAGAATATAACATGAAAAATTATACTTTTAAAAAGCCAATACAAAAAAAATTGTAACATTACTTTGCAGAAGTCTATGGAATGATGCACAGATGTAGGCGTGCTCATCTCCAGTACTACCATCTCAAAACAAAATATGAGTTCATTTTATTACTTAAATACCATAAACTAATGTTGCTGTTGAATGCATTTATCAGATTGCACTAGGGTTTCGGGCTTCATGCAAGGAGGGACCAAAAAAGACAGATGTGCTAAAAATATCCCCTTCTTGATTTTGTCTTCTAGCTGGTAGAAACGGAGGACACTTTAGAACAAGTACTACCATGTCTTAATCTCCAAAGAGCCGGAGTCAGTATATGGGTCTGGGTCCATAACCAACTCTATACCATTTGGGTTTGTTTCAGATCTATAATACCCAAATTTCAAGAAATTGGACTCCTCCAGAACATAAAATTCCCTAAATCTCACATTTATCCCAATACTAACATAAAAATCTCTAACCAAACTGAAAACATTCCCAGCAAATGCCTGACAAATTGAAGATAGAAAAATGTACACAAATAATAGAGAATGTCAAGTCTAAAAAAAATATGGTACTATCGATATTGTCTTCCACTTTCCTATTTTAAAAGAAGAAAGATAAGCTGCTCTAAATGACTCCTACTTCCTCAAGACCCAAAACATGTGATTGTACTACTTCTTCACTGATAGTTTCCAGGCACTCAGAAGGATTATCTGCCAGCATTGCTTCAGCAGCTATAGTGAGATCCAAATACACTTCATCAATTGAAGCACGCTCACATCGGCCTCTTCTAGAAAGTATAGAGACAACCTGCAATTATATTATGGTATGATTATCACCAACATTATTAGCCTTAGCACAATGGTAACTTTCAGAGTCAATGAACCTCTGAGCCTGCATTCCTGTAGGCATTAAGATCAGCTTTACCACGGGCAACTGGGACTTGAACAAGATGAATCTCCGGACAAACTTGCTTTGCTTCATCACCTCGCATTGAGCTTGAGCATGTAAATATTTCAGTTCTCAGATGCTTGATGAGTATCAACTTCTCCAAAAATAATCAGTTAACTACTCATACAACTATAGGTAAACAGACTCACCGCTTCACCCCAAACTTACGAGCCTCATAACTGACAGCGATCAGTCCCCCACCTTGCCAAGAATTGTACTGTACAACAGCAGTGGGTTGACCTCTTAGACTTGGTTGCTTCCGCTGCTCCACTACAGATTCACAGTATGACCAGTTAGCCAGACTATAAAGATGATATCATGGCACAACCAATTTGCACAGTAAAAAGATAAATACACAAGAAAGGATGGTAACATTACTATTATTAATAAAATATGGTAACATCACTATCTCATGATCATAACAGAAAGAACATTTCTTTAATAAATATACAAAAAGTACATTCTTAAACTCAAAGTGGAAGGCAAGTTTTACAAAATGGTTTTAAAACCAAGATGTTGATCCAAGGATGATTTTGCAAGAAGGTGGATTTTTATACAAGGTTAGACCAAAACAAAAATGATAGCAAACCAGTGAAAAAATGCAAGAATCGCATAAAGGATAAAATGACATAACATCACTTGAGATGGTTTAGTCATTAGAATATCATGAGAAGATATGTCCAGATTCATTATACTTGAATAAGGAAAATCTTATAGAATAAGCTTTATAAATACCTTCAGGTGTTATAACTTAAGTTATTAGCACAGATATTGATTTACCATCAATGCATATCATACATGGCCTAAAACTCCTATATAAGGAGCACCTCTTGTACATTCTTACTGAATAAAGTCAGGGGCAGTGTTTTTCAGAGTGTGGCGACAAAAAGCAACAGGGCCCTGATTCTCTTTCACTCAAAAGCATGAAGCGTGAAGCGAAGCGCTTGCTTCATCGAAGATAAGCCCACTTTTTTATAAAGATCAAAATGAACTTGTACAAAAACAACATATATAAGCAAATGTAAAATTCCTAACACGCTCCTCTAGTCCCGAGCTTGGTAAAGAAGGGCGTGGGAAATTCTTTTCTTCCAGTCTACTTGTGATAGGGGAAGTTTCACTCTAGGCTAGGTCAGTTTCGCTTTATCTTGTCGGTAAGTATATTTGTCATGGTATTGGTGTATGTTGTTCCAGTTGTGTTGGTGAATATAAAAAAACTAAAAAGTAGAGAGCATAACAAGAAAAATCAAATCTAAAATTCAAAATAAAACAATATGTTATTGCATTTGAGTCGTTATTCAATTTTTTATCCATCCATAAGCTCTTGCACTTCTTCCTTCACATGTACCCGGCAACTTGGACAAGTTCTAACCTTGGGATTACCAATTGATGAGATGATGTTTGTGACGATAAATTTCCCTTTTTGTAATTTGTAACAAAAAGACATTTAATTGAGGTCAGTCGATCTCGTTAATTTTCTATGCATATATCCAAGTCGAGTCTTACTTTTGATCTTGTGAAGCTATTTACATTCTTTAAAAGGCAAACGAAATAAAACTCAGCTACTTTAATTGAAAGAAATCCACTGATAATGGACTATTTGGAAAGATTAAAAATTCAGCTATAAGAAGAAGACTAGCTCTAAGTTGAAGCTTCTGAAACAAGCAAAATATAAAGACCCGGATTCCATGATTTTCTTTGAAATTGATATCTTTAAAACTTAAAAAACATAAAAACAATTGTCTCCTAGCACTTCACACTCCTCAGTCCTCCCATGAAGCGAGCATTTACATAGGATCACTGCACTTCATACCCTTGAAGCGAGATACTTGTCGCCTCACGTCACTTCTCACTTTAAGCGATGAAGAGTCCATTTTCTATAACACTAGTAAATAAGAAGTTTTTTCTAGTTTCACAAGGTATCAGAGCTATTGCAACCTTGGGAGACTCAAATAGCTTCAACTACCAACAACCGGTGCATGCCAACATGCATTGCATGTCGACCAAATTTTTTTATATTTATGTTCCTTCCAGTTTTTGGCGATGCTCCTCTCTACAGCAAGCAGTGTTTCTACTTCGAGAGACCATTCAAGCATTGCACCACTCTTCAGCAACCTTTCATCAGGTGTAACTTCTTGACACTACTACTTTTTTCACTACCAGTGCCTTCTGTTCCACCTAGGTTTTCTTGTTTTTCATTCTAACAATTTAAGCTTTACTAACTGTGTCTTGGAGATTTGCAAAACAATATCTCCTTTTGGAAATTGAGAACACTATTTTTTGTGTCAAGTGCAAGAATCACTTACTTTTATTATGCAATTATCAACGACTTTTCATAGAAAAATAATTTAAGCACGACTTCTATTTTTGGTATTTTGTGAGATTTCGATATCAAGCTGGTTTCCCTAATTTGAATTTGAGGGGGCATGTTAGAATATAAAAAGAAGATTCATTATACCTACAACAACATACCCGGTGAAATCCCACCAGGTGGAGTTTGGGAAGGGTGGGTGCACACAGACCTTACCACTACCTCTTGGAGGTAGAGAGGTTGTTAAAAAAGACCCTCAACGCAAGTACATCAAATCCAAGTAAAAAGGAGAAAACAATGAAGAAAACATAGAAGTTAGTGAGAATTCATATAGCCAACTTCTAGTACATCCAAATTTGTATAACGCTTGCTTAAGATGAATTTTAATTGGAGTTTAGTGAGAATTCATATAGCCAAACCCAATATGTTTGGGGCTGCTGTGTAGCTATGGTTTGTTGTTATAGAGCATTGACAATAAAAAACTTGTGTGCTATCGCATGGGCTACCCTGTTTAGCATTTTATATATTTTTTACATCTAAAAACATTATATGTAAGAACACCCAAAGCTTTTTCCTTTTATGATAGCGGATGTTCGCGATCAACTTATGCGCATCTCGACTATTCCATTGAGTACCTACTCCCTTCCACAAATGTCGGTATGTAAATCTACCCATGAAGAATAAGTAGATGAAAGCTATTTTCTTTATTCAATAGAAGAATTTCAGAAAGAAAAAATCTTCTGGTCTGCCTCAGTCACCTTGTGTGAAAATAAACTAGAGACCTCACAATTTTCCTCCCACTTCATAAGCCACGCCCTTGGTGCAAGAACATCCAATTCCTTAAACCAACATATATCAGCAGTTTCTTACCAACTATAAAAGAGCTATGGAAAAAGTAACCTGGCTAACAAATAACAATACTTTAAAGGAACATCCTCTAGAAAGCATTGGCTCCAGTAATGGATGCACAGTTTTAGGTACAGCCTACAGCGTTCGGCTGGCTCAAACTCAGTATTTATGTTTTAATTAAAAAACTCATTTGATACTATAAGTAATCTAACAACAACATGTCCAATGTAATACAACAAAATGGGGTCTCGGGAGGCAAACCTGACTTGTTTCTGATAAATCCTCAACTTAAGATAAAAACAGTCTAGAAAACAAAAGGCAATGAAAGTAAGGAAAGCAAGTAGTAGCAGAACAATACTAAAATGAAAATGAAGAAAATAAGTAGTAGCAGAACAATACTATAACGAAATTGAAGAAAACAAGAGTAGGCAGCAAGTCAATACCTACTACAATGGTCAAGAACCCATGAATGAAAACTCTTACAATTGAAAGGCACTTCATTCATTGTACAACAAATCCTAAAGGAATGGATATTTTTCAAAAGAGAAATGAAAAGGATTATAGTCTACATATGCCCTAACAGGAATACACAAATTAATATAAATCCCAAAATTTTGCGAGAAAAAATAGAACCTTGAACGTAGAAGCAATCCATATCGACGTGAGCAATAACTCTACAATCCGATAACTCAGGTCTTGCCACCGGCATATCTCTCTCTCTCTCGCGGCTCCTCAATCGTCTTCCCACCAATTTCCTTTCAATTCTTATACTAAAAAATTTCCCACCAATAATAGGGTTAAATAATAAATGACTGCTTTATTTTTAAAATGATAGATTAAATTTTTAAATAGTTTTAAATATAAACATGTGATACAGGGAAAAATTAATTTTGATTCTCTCTCACATTTATTAGTAAAAACTAGATGAGACGGGCCAACATTTTAAATTTTAAAAATATCATATTTTAATTTGTATAAATATAATAATTTTGTGATAAAATTTTATGATTTGACTTATTTTTAAAAAAAAATTGTGTCAAACTATGATACTTCTTCTATTTTATATTAAGTGAATTCGTGAGGCAATGATATGTATTAAGATGAACATTTAAGAACATAATTTAAATCATATTTTTCATAATTGTCTTTTTGTGAAATCATATATATAACTTTGTAAGTAGTGCAATTTGTCTCATATAAAACTTCTTTAGACAAGAGCGCCAATAAGAACAAAAACTTAAATTTTTATATTGAACTTTCAATAATTTAATTATTTTAAACATAAAAATACATTACATAATGTAAAATGGAGGGAGAAGTCAACTTGGTGGATCATCAAAAGTCCTCATGAATCGGCAAATGTTTGCCCTGCCACAAAATCCAAATGAAGTATAGCATAAATATCAGTAACATACCTTAATTTAATTTAGATCATATTATCCTTCTAAATTATTTTAAAATGAAATAGATATGTTGCATAGAGAGTATTTACTTTCTTTTAAAAGCAAGTGATGATAAAAAAAAAGGGGTAGATGTCTTTTTTTAATTCGTCTATTTAGTATTAGCTAGTATACATAATTATTGATATTAAAACTTATATATATTTAATTATTTTTATATTTTTCATCGTAAAATAATTTAATTTCCCTCTTTAATTTAATTTCTTTTTAATCTTTTCATTTTTAATTATGGGATCTAATCTAGGATAGTGTGTGACTATCTATTTTAAGATATTATTTTTTTAGAAAAGATTTGACGGTATGATTTATATAAATTAGTCAAGCTGAATAAATTTTCTAGTTTATAAAAATTGATGAACATAAATTATACTTAAAGTACATTCAAATTCCAAGTTTTTTATCGGAAAAGATATGGATAAAAACAACTCCAATCATAACTTAAAAATTTAAATAAAATAAATAGTACGATTATTTAAATTCCATAACTAAATGCCTTTTAATAAATATCATATGCATTGCTCTTTTAAAATTGAATAAGAAAAATGGGCAAATTAGAAGTAGAAAATTATTGTCAGCTACAACCCACAATCATAATGAGAAATTGGCCCCATTTGTTTTACTAACTATAAAGCTGTGTCAAATGGTTAAATAGTCAGCACAATTGAAAGATTAATAAAATATACAAGAAAAGCGACTCATTTCTACCTATCAAAATCCTAGACCTAACTTAAAAGACTAAAATGCCACATACAAATTAACAAATGACTCTAAGCATACATGTTGATACAAACATTAAACTCATGCATCTATACTGGTAGAAAAAATAATGATAATATTTAAAATAATAATAATCTTAACTATTAAATTGACTAAATTAATTTAAAATCGGAAAATAAAAGTAATAAAAATTACAAATATAAAAGGAAAAAATTTTAAACACGCAAGTTTATTTTTTAGAACATAAAACTGACCAATCGACCCAACTTTTTTTGTGGAAAATATTTTTAACAATCATTCCACAACCTATTTGTTTATAGCAAACAACTACAAAATGAAAAAAAAATGAAAAACACCTAATACTATTTTTTTTAAAAAAAAATATGACAAAGTTTAATATAAACTTCAATTTTGTGTTAGCTTACCAGCTGACTTGAACACTATGAATATACTAGTTAAATTGCTTACAAACTGAGTAATAAACTTGAACATCATAATTATCCTCCTTATTAGATATAGATAATCTCACAATTTTGATACAAATTTAATCTTATTTCAGCTAATACGAAAAGCGAAAGTTTAATAAAATTGCCTTCACTAGATAAATGTTGTCATAAAATCACTTTAGTAGTGGACAATAAATGCTCTATCACCGCCTATATAAAGCGTCGTTGGTTAAGTTGTCCCACATCGATATTCAAAAGGAAAAACAGTCCTTTAAAACTAAAAGGAAAATGAATAGTTTACTTTCAGAGTATGCGGAGTTGAGAATTGAACACAATTTAAATTCAAACCCCAAACTGCTTCTGTAATCAGAAGATTTACATAAAGGGGGTGGTTTGCCTGGTGTTTTTCCTCATTTGTGCCAAACAAAAGAAACACCGATTCTCACTTTGCTCCTCGCTTGCCAACACTCCTATTTTATTTTTATTTTTTATGATATTACTCAATTTATGTTCAAATACATATTTTTCGTTTCTACTTATATGTCATCGTAATTAAATTAATGAACTGACATGTATATATTAATCATATATATGTTGGTCAAATTCATACTTTCAAGATTAATACACCCTTCATCTATTTATTTATGTCATGTTGCTTTTTTCGAAAGTCAATTTGACTCATTTATAAAGTTAAATTATATTATATTAATTTGATATTTTAAGCAAAAAAAATTAAATATACAAAAAATATATGAAAAGTATTAAAAATTGCATTTTTTTGCATATCTATATATGATGAAAAAATATATCGTAGTCAAAAATCTTATTGTTTGACTCTAAAAAAACGTTGACAATTAAAAGTGAATGAAGAAGTAACTCTCAAGGACAAAATAAATAGAATAGTGTTATTTATGTATTGATTTTATGAAATAAACAAATATTAAGAAATATATATTTTTATTAGGAATGACATGTTAATAGAAAGAAAGTTGACAATATGCAAATGGAAACAATACTTGTTTAATAGTGTATTTGACTTTTTTTCCTTCTATATTACTGAATTCATATTTAAATACATACTTAATTATCAAAGCTGTAAAATAATGACATTTTTTAATATTTACATGACACTCATTTAGTTTTTTCGTTAAATATTTATATCAAATTAATACATTTATCGTGGAGAAACACTAAAATAATTTTAAATGACTTTAATAGCAACTTATTAACAATATTAGGTTAATACCACTAAATATGTCTTTTTAGAGGCAATTAACATTTTTTTATTGTAATTCTCTCTAAAATCTATTGGATTTAATTATCATAAACTAATGCCGATAAGATATTAGTACTCTTTGTTATCATTCATACTTATTATCTCTAAAAAATATTTTTATTATAATGAAATATGATTTATTAAAGTAAAATATTCATTAATTAATCATATGATAAAGTAAAAGAAAAACTCAAATACTATCATATATGTATTCTACTATATTAGAAGCATGAGTCGAGCAGCTGGTATCCACATGCTTGCTTGTTGTCATTTAAATTTATGTCAAGGACCCATTATAACTTTTCACTACATCTATACATATATGTTTCTTTTATCCCCCATTTGAAAAGTCACGTAACACCTATCTTCATCACATTGTTGTCTCATCTATTGAACTGACAACAAAAGGTTTTGTCCTCCGTTTCTTTTTGCCATCTTCTTCAATGATGGCTGCAATTTTTTGTCAAACTATTCTTAAACTATGACCCAAACTTAAAAATACATTCTTGTATTACTATAACAGACAAAAAAACATCCCTTAACTAATTAAAAGGTTGCAACAATCATCCTTTTGTTTAGTTTCTGTCAAAAACTAATGATATGCCCCAAAATCACGTCTCTTTCTCCTTTAATTTCTCAATCTATATCCCTCTCACTCAGTCATCTTTCACCTTCTTCAGTTATATGTGAAAGCATTCATATTCTCTTTTTTCATTAACGGAAGAAAATTCATCAGATAAACACTTAATTATGCACAACTGTGTAGAACTATTTCTTCAGTTTCCTGCTCAAATAAATAGTGCACAGAGCTTAATTGTTCTTTCTTTCTCTTCCATTTTTCTTTAAAAGCTACCAGAAATTTTAATCAACACAAGTGGTAATAATTTATAATGGAAAAAATTAGTGAATTTTAGATTATTTTGTGTAGTATCAATACTTCCAATCTCTTTGGATCATTTTATCTAACTGGTAGGGAAATTTTCACAATATTTTAGGGGATTTTTGTGTTGTATGGTGTTATCTGTGGTTACCTTAAAAAAAGATACCTCTTCCACAAGATGAAGAAGATGAAGATGATAGAAATTAATTAATCACACTCGTCAATTATATTAAACAATTAAAACACTATTGGATAGAGAAAGATTATGAACTTGACTTTTGCCTTTGATTTGTGAAGCACTACTACATATACGGTAGAAGACAAATCGTGTCAAAACTATAGATCTTCAATTGGTAAGAGAAAGATCATGAGCTATAGTATATGGTTTTTCTGCCCAAAAGCTCTACGCTTTTCGAAATGATAGTGAAGTTCTGCTGAAGGTTAAAGGCAATAAGATATGATAGCAATAGAAGTATTTGGGGTGGGGTGGTCGTCAGGGCTGGGGCAGTCACTTCTTTAGCTGTTAGTTTTTGACAGAAACTAAACAGAAGGATGATTGTTGCAACTTTTGAATTAGCTAAGGGATGTTTTTTATTTATTTTAGTAATACAAGGATGTACTTTAGATTCAGCTTTTGTTCAGGCTTCCAACAAACTAAACGAACCAACTATTTTGGTTGGTAGTTTGTGAGTACTTAAATTTATGCATGAAGCTAGAGGACTATTGAAGATAATACAACATAAATCCAAACAGGCAATACCATGTTATGTTGATCTTATTGCATGCCTAAAAACTAAAACAATACAACACTGAATCCATGGATGACATTGTCATAAGAATAAATAAGTTTTGGAACTGCATGGTGGCCATTTTGTGTAGCGAGAGCTTCAATCTTGATGGTATCAATAATGGAAGAATGCCAGTTTTGTTGACTAGAAAAAATTTTAGGCAGAAGAGACTTGCCCAAATGAACAATGTAAGTAGTATTAGGAGATAATAG